TTAAGCACTCACCAGCCAACTGAAAGTTTGACAGTTTGAACTCACCAGCAGCTCCATGGGAGAAAAGACCTAGCAATCCGCTCCTATAAACATCACAGCCCAGGAAATCCGATAGGACAGTTCTATTCTGTCAGATAGGATAGCTGGAATTGACATGGCACCTAACAACACCAACAGTATGTTTTGGGTAATTCGTTTATTTTCTATTTACCTATTTTCTTATCTGTGAAAAGGTGGCATAGTGCCTAAGGCATTGGACTGCTAACCAGAAGACTGGCAGTCTAGACCCACTAGCCACTCCTTGGAAGGAAGATTGGGCAATCTACTTCCTTGGAGATACTGCCTCAAAAACCCAAGGAGGGGTCACTATGAGTCCAATCGAGTCGAAGGCAGTGAGTTTGGGTTTTTTGGTGTCTTAATTGGAGTGTCGTTTATAGGGTTCTTATTGTTTGTGATTCCATGGGTGACCCAAACAGTGAAGTGTTCAGGTACTAACCTAAAAGATGTCAGCCTGACTTCACTCAGAGGCCCCTTAGAAAAAAGCCTGACAATTTTCTTCTGAAATATCAGTGATTGATATGGAGCACAGTTCAACTTGACACAGAAGGGGGTCACCCCATGAGTTGGAGTCGACACGGTGACAACTTGTGTGCCTTTTGGTTTGTTTGTGAAGCACTGTTCTCAGTACTTGTCAGGCAATTGTTCTTATAATTTCATATGTCTTATGAAGGAGGTGGTATGAATATCCCAATTTCATGGAAAAGGAAATGGAGTCAGAGAGACATGAAGTTCCCTGCCCAAGGTCACAGGGCTATGATCTCGAACCCGGGCATCTATGCTCCTATTTCATCTCTCTTGACAATTTTGGGAAAACCAAATATAATCCTGCACAGTTGTTGTTGTCGTTGTTACGTGCCTTGGAGTAGGTATGATAATATGGACTGTTCTTTTCTCTTGACTCTTCACATAGCAACGAAGAGATGTTTAAACATTCAACCCTGGATGTCACCCATGCTGCCTTGGTGGATAAATTTTGGTATTTTGGTGGTAACAGGAGAAGCCAGAGATTCATTGAACGCTGTATCCAGAGCTTCCCCACTCTCTGTTTGCTGGGACCTGAGGGAACCCCTGTGACCTGGGCCTTGATGGATCAGAGTGGAGAGCTGAGGATGGGAGCTACTGTACCCAAGTACCGATCACAGGGCCTCGGCACCTACGTCCTGTATTCCTATGTCCAGAGTATGGACAAACTTGGCTTTCCCACATATAATCATGCAGACAAAGCCAACAAAATCTCACAGAAGATGAATCACACTCTGCAACTTGTCCCCATGCCCTGTGACTGGAACCAGTGGAACTGTGTGCCTCTGTAAAACTGGCCCTGAATTCACTCAGTGTCAGGGGTGCTGGGCAGGTGGCTGGAGGAGCAGATGGGGAGACAGAGAGAAAGAATAACTTGTAATCAGAAGTAAAGCTAC